TAACTGCATGGGAATTACAGTAATGAGTGTGTAATAATTATCTGCATAGCCCACAGTTTGCTGCCAGCTCCTGCTGGTCTGTCATAAACAGCATCTGTCCATGCAAGCGTGGTAACTGAGTGCCTTGTCTGATCCATGGGCATTTGTAGCCCTCTCCCAAAACCTGAAGGGACATGCCTGTGTCTTTATTTAAAAAAACAACAACAACACCAAAAAACAATCAAACAAACAAAAGTAACAACAAAAAACAGCACTCGAGTGTGAGTTGATCCTAAGTTGAACCAGTGAGTAGAGCAGTTGGGAGATCATGGTCCTGCTCTTCACTTGTGCCACAACCCCTTTGGAGGCCAGAGTATAACCCAGGGCAGGAGAAGTGAGAGGCAGCTGGAGGTGCATCCACTGCCCTAAATTACCTCTGGCTGATCTTCCAGAGCTCACCTGTCAAAATCCTGAGTGGTGGCTCCTACTAAACTACCTGCCTATAAGTCTAAAGGTGTTGTGTCTGATTGTTGGGATTGTGGCTTGGGAGGTCTTACAGACAGTAGCAGGCACTGGGTAGCATCTTTGCCTTGCCTGTTTTCTTGTAGGAATGCACCCAACTCTAGAAGCACACTGTTCTGGGAGCTCTAGAAGCACAGTTCTGGGAAATCCATTACACAGATGATGAGATGATGGGTAGCAGAGGTCACTTGCCTGATACGCATCCAGTGGATTTTCCATCTGGTTGACAGACTGTGCCGGTGGATGGGTTTTGTACCAGTAGATGAGTTATGAGCCATGTGGATCAAACTCCAGCCCTTGGGAGGCTAAGGCAGTCTCAGCTGGCTGGGCTAAAAAACCCTTCTCTTTGACCAGTGTCTGCGGTTGGGGTCATCAAGGAGAGAGCATGCCCAGCACTATGGGAGGCAGGCAGCATGGCACACTGCATTTGTTCCTTCCAATTACCCTGCTGTTCTACCTTTATTTTAAAGGGACTTAGCAGTGTTACTTGTTAGAACTGGAAAAAACTCCCCTTTCTCCCACTCCCACTCTAGGACATAAAAAACTGTCCTGGGCCTTTCTGAGAACTACAGCCCCAGAGCTGCCCTCAGACAGACTGGGTTTCCTTCTGCAGGAACCAGCCAGCATCCCTATGCTTCCATAGCTGTGTAATGAAACCCTGCTCTGGAGCTGTTGCTGCCTGGTTACAGTCCAGAGATAATTTTTTTGGAAAGCTTTCTCCAGATCTTTGCAGCTCATTTAGGTGAATATGGAAGGAAAATTTTTATGGTTTAAAAAAAAGTTCCAATTTCTATTTTGAACTTGGCTAATTTGTAAGTGGGCAGGTTTGCAGCAAACTGCAGGACAGATTTAAAAATAATGTTGGAGAGAGCTTGTGAGCTTGGGGGAAGGAGTAGGAAAACACTTGTGTAGACTCAGCTCTATTCAGAGAAACATCAATAGTTCTTCTGTTGGGTTCTTGTTTCAGTACAGCATGGTAAAAGTGTTCAAAGGAAACCTAACGCAAGCAGTAATGATTAAGCAACAAAAACCCCCATTCCTTATAATTATAGCCCAGTACGATACCAGCCTTTAGCAAATACGTCATTTTCTTCACTGAAGTGTTAACAAGCCCAAAGCACAGCCTGAATGTTGCCTCTGATCTGACTCTCTTGTGCACAGGTTTCTTTGGTTCAAGCTGAACGAGTTCATGTGCTCACTAATTGGCTCAGGATAAGTGGGAGCTGCATCCTCCAAGCTTGTCCTGTGCCAGGGGACTTGCTCTGTGCTGCTGGTGCAGAGGCAGCACAGGCTGATGCACAGGCTACAGCAAGTACTTCTCTTAAGTGTACTTGGCTTGGGTTTAATCCCGTGATGAAGGACAACTCTGCTCAGCAATGCATGTAGTTAAAAAGAGCTCTGCCACTGTGTTCACTGGCAACTTGCAGTGCCTATAGAGATGCAGAGGAGCACGATGGAGGCACAAGTACCTGTGGTTGCAGTGGCAGCAGAGTGGTGTCCCTAGTTGCCAAAGGGCAGTACAGCACACAGACTAGTCTTTTGATGTTTTCAGGTTTTGAACTTCTGTAGGATCTGAGATGTTGTATCTCTAGTAATTTCTACTTAAGAGCTGCCGCACATGAACCTCAGTCATTTGCTTTTCTAATCCAAGTTTAGTTCAGAGTCTTAGAAAACTTTATGGCAAAACTGCAGTTTTTAAGGCCAATAGAAATCATTAGTTCCTTGAATTTCTTCCGTAGCACAGATGTGATACATATGTGTTAAGCCCAGTGACATGGGTTTGACTGTCTCCACAAGAGATACTGCTGCTTTCCTTGTTAGCTTGTTCCTGTGGTTAATCACCTATGGTGTTAAAAGCACGATCCTTATTCCTCAGTTGAATGTATCTGACTTTGACTCAAACACATTGCTTCCTGTTATGTATTTCTGTTCTGAATTAAAGAGTCTCTGGTGCCTGATGGATTGTTGCCTTAAAGAACTGGAAAATCAAGTCATTGCTTTCTCTTTTTAACACGACAAACAAAATGATTTGTACAAGTCTTTCACAGGAAGACTCTTTCCATCTCTTGAAATGGTTTTGCAGCTGCTGTCTTTGCCATTTTCAGGTTTCCAAGCAATTTTAATAGAGGCATATGGACTAGAAATGGGAAAATATCAGCCTTTAGTCTCTACAAAAATTATGTGTGGCCTTTGCCCACACCTTTTCTATACATCCAGTTACCCATGATACATACAAAGTAGGCGCAACAATGGGGTGAATTGCTGACCAGTTCCTTTGCCTTCCTAACATCTTTGCTGATCTTGTGCCCCAAGGTGTTCAGGTGGTCAGTCCTACATCCAAGAGAGCCTGGACTATGTGGGAAGAGCTCCTGGGCTGGTAGGGAAGTGAGTGTGATCCTGCTTATAGCCTTCAGTCTAAACATAGTCTTCACAAATGAAAAGTGCATGCTCTTTCCCAAGTGCAGCCCCAGAATTTCTCCTGGGTTCCTGCCTTGGAAACCCTTATTCCCAGCCAGGTGGGATATCCCAAAGGTATGCAGGAGAAGCTGTGGTAATTCCCCCTTCAACTTTTTTATTTGCTTGGTGCTGGCTGGTAGTAAGAGAAAGCTGGAGCTCTGCTGCAAGATATTGTGCTTTCCAGCACTGCACTCTCTACTTCTGTGGTGCAGTGGCAAGTGTCATTCCCCAGCAGCAGAAGGAGAAGGTTACTGGTGAAGACCAGCTCTGCAACTGTTTGCAGCCTTTCTCCTGCGCTTTGTGGAGAATGAGGTGGTAGAGTTTTCACTCTGGACAGGCCCGCTCTTCTTTTTCCTTAGGTGATGTGCTGTTGTGACTTATCTCCCGGCTTGATGGCTTTATCCAGCTGTTCCCGAGGCAGGACACATGGAGAGGGTGGATGGCACGTGGCAGGAGTGCGACCCTCAAGGGTAGCTGCCTGCAAGGCTGGCAGGAGCCCCTTGGTGACACACAGAAGACACTTTTGCCTATCAGGATCATGGTGCCATGGATGCTCTGACCTGGAGGGAGCAATGGGCCTTTTAGAACCACACTGAAATCTTTGGCTTACTCATCTGGGGCAGGGCACTGAGCAGGACCTTGCTCTGGGAGGGTTATCTTCTGATGCAAGGACAAATTTTTACCCAATGAAACTTCAGAGTGATGCATCAGCAGGAGAGGAGGATCGGGTGGTACGGTGCAGTGACCATTGCTAAAAGACTCTGGGCCATGCAGGATGGGCACCTCTGGGGTCTTTGTGCCTCTGGAGGTTTTGAGAACCAAGGGCTCTGTCCACCCAGCAACATCACACAGCCTGTTCCCCGAGAGCAGTTTAACATTTTCCCTGTGGGAACAGTACTCTGAATTTCTTGAGCTTGTTTGGGCGTAAAATCTGAATTAGGCACTGAGTGTGAGTTTGGAGACTTGGAGTCTGTTCCTGGCTCGCTTGATCTGATGTCCTTGGATGAGCTTGGATCTTGTTAGAGGAGACTTTGCTTTCCATGCATATTAAATTTGGGGTTTTTGTTAAACGAGCTTACCCATCCCCGATAAGCTAATTGTAAATTAGGCAGGAGCACCAGCTTCACAGGGCAGTTGGCCCTTGTGCAGGGGTTGCGTTGGGCACGTGCAGCTGGCAACAAACCCAGTACTGGCAGGCAGTGACATGCAGGCAGCACCAGGACACAGCCAGCTTTGCCTGCTCGGCCACCCCTTGCTGTTTCTGCTCTGCCTGGGCTCCTCCTTGCTTGGCTTAGAGGAGATCTGGTAACAGGCTGAGGCAGCAGGAGACAGGCTAGGGCAGAGCTGGGCATCCTTCCCATGGGTCTGTCCCAAAACTGTTGTGGTTTTGGATGCGGGCAGAGGGTGCCAGGATGGAAAAGTGCAGGTAGAGGGGTCTGTCTGTGTGAATATTTGCTGCCAGCAGTGCCACATGAGCTTTCCCAGCCCAGCAAATGCTCTTGCCAGGCAGCACAGGCTCCATCCTCCCCACAGCCGTCTCTCCTTCAGGCCCATCTGGTGAAGTCTGTCACCAGCCCTTCCCCACCTCCAGCTGCTCTGGGCAGCAGCCAAGGGACCAGCAGTGTCCCTGCTGCTCTTTTCCCTCCCCTGAGGATTGGGGGGGGTCACGGGCTTTGATGTGTGGGCACAGGGCTGGGGACAGGCTGTGTGTGCTCATGAGAGCCTGGCCAGGCTCCAGCTGCCTTTGAAGTGCTCCAGTGATCGGGATGAAAGGGAGGAGAGTCCTTCCCCAAACCATCTGGCTCTAATTGCAGGTAGAAATGCCTCTCCGCATCCCCCCGTGGGGAGGGGGCACGCCGCTCTCTTAGTTAATCCCGTGGCTCTTGGCTGGGCTGGAGCGAAGGACGAGAGCTTGGGAACAAAAGGGGGTTTCAGCTGGGCAGCCAGAAATAGGCAGCCGCTGGCAGAGATGCTGGGGGTTCAGGCACCTCCGCTCCCAGCCTCATACTGTGGGGCCCCAAAGACCTTCCCAGGGACAGCCCATGCCACGGAGGGGCTTTGCCAGTTGTTCCCATCTCCGGTTTCTCAGGCGCACTGGAGCTTGCCGGCCCTTTGACTCGCTCTTTTCTGTGCCGGCGCGCGCCGAGCGTGGGGACGAGGAACGTGGGAACCCGGCGCGAGCCCGGCAGGCACAGCTGCCTCCGCACCGTGCCAGGCCCTGCCAGGCTCCCCCCGAGCCTCCTGGGCAGGGTGGCCTACGAAGCTTCAGGTGCCACAGAATGGTGGCTAGAGCCATTGGCAAGTTAAGTTTTGTTGTCTGCTCCGGCTGGCCATCTTCTCTTTCCCGAGGAGGTAACAGTGGTGTGTCTACCAGCTGCTGATTTACCTCCTCGTGGCAGCCTTTGGGCAGCATCTGAAATCTCAGTTAAACGCGTGTTTCTTGAAGTCATCTGCCCTAATACTGACACTAAAGAACAATTTATTTAGATGAGGTTTTTCCCTTTGTCTTAAAGCCCTTGTTATAAACTTCTAATATATACATTTATTAAAAGTAACTCTATGACTTGCTGTTCCTCATCTCCAGGGACCAAGCGATGGCCAAAAAGGGAGAGCAAGAAGTAGAAGGCCAGGCGAGATGAGCAATGGTACAGCAGAGGGGTGTGGAGAGAGTGGTTGTGGGGACAGGGAGCACCAGCCTGAGCAGACCTGCAGGTTGTTCGGGTGCAGCACGGCCGAGCTTTGGCACAGCACAGGGCACTGGTTATTCACTTGAATAATTAACATGTTAATTGCTGCCCTGATGCTGCTGTAAGATGGTGTGGAGAAGCCATTTGGTGCAGGATTTTGCTGGGCAGCATTTTCCTTCCTGCACAGCCATCCTTGGGAGATGTCTTCACTGCCTCTTCCCTCTCCAGGTCTCTGCCTCCTCCGACCCCCGTTCGGCAGGGGATGAGGAGCTGCCGCCGTCGGGCAAGGCGCGGGGGCTGAGGCGGAGCGGGCAGGC